GTCAACTCTTTGCCCCAACTGCAGCTTCTACACTGCCCCACAAATCCTGCTAAAATGATGCTACCCCAAAAGGGTAGCCTTCTCTTCGCAAAAAGCTTTGCAGCTCGCTTCCTGCAAGGATCCCTTTGTCAATCTGTCTATTGCCTGGGCGGCAATCTTGTAGAGAGCATCTTTGCTTTGTCCGCGACAGCCGAACTGACACACCTGCTTTCCGCCCTTCACGCGGATGGCTGCTTTGTTCGTCTCTTTGTAGAACATCTTGCAGTACTCAATGGACCCCTCCGTCTTCTGCACAATGGCCTTTGCGGCTGCCTTGGCCTTGCCTTTCGGTTGAGGCTTGGCCTTGGCCTTGCTCTTGGCCTTGGCTTTCGCCTTGGAAACTGGATCCTTTGGCTGAGTCTGCTGAGCCCTGGCCTTTTCTTCACGTTCCTCCTTTCGGTTCTCAATAGCAGCCATCACAATCTTGGGCATTTCCAAAGCAGCAACTGGCTTTGCGCCATTCTCACTGGCAGGGCCAGTGTGGGGAAGGGCTGCAGGCGCAGCTTCAGCAACAGCCTTCGTTGGAGGTGAAGCCTGGGGTGACGCAGCCTGCTGTCCGGGCTGCTCTTGAGTCTCCTGACTCTCAACAGGCTCATCAGTCTTTGCTCTCTGACATGGCTCCTGCTCTGGCACTGGCAATGCCAGCTGGCGCTTCCGGGCAGGAGGCTTCAACAACTGCAACGTTGGTTGCCTTTGCTGCTGGTGGGCAGTGAACAGCTCATGCATCCACATCATCAACTGTTGTTGGGGGGGGCCTGTCCTGAGCAACCGGACGGTGACACCTGTGTCTCTTGCACAACCGCTTTGTTGGTCCTCCTCATTGGGACCTGAGTGCGGATGACGGGCAGAGTGAAGGCCACAGGCGGGTCAGCCTTGTCATACGCCTCCTTCTGAAGCCATTCAGGCAGCTCTGCCGGCGTCGGCGGGAACGTTGCGATATGTTCCTGCTTTCTCGGCGTGCTCTTCAAAGCGGCCCTCAGCAACCGCTTCAACTCATGGACCACTGCCAACCTGTCCTTGGCGGAGCCATCGCCCATCTCAAGCCCCATTGCATTGGCTTGACTCAGGATGACACCGATGGTGCGCTCTGATGGCAAATGGATGCCAAGCAGCACCATCCGGGCCACCAACGCATTCAGCTTGACCGTGAGGTTGCCATCACCTTCAAGGATGGCATGGTCGGCCTTCGTGAGGTAGGCACTAAAGTCATCCACAGTCTGGCTGGATCGCCGGCCACGGGCTCCTGATCCATGTCGGAGAACCGCACTGTTTACTCCTTGTATGAGCAACTCTAGTTGCTCTGGTGTCCATGGACCCATCTTCATGGTGGTGATCCAAGATATGGCTTGGCCTGGTTCCAGGCTCATCTGGGACAGGCGCCTGATCCAGAATGAGCACTGTTGTTGAGCGCACTCTGCATGGCTGTTTGTGGAAGCCAAATACTTTTGAGTGGCTTCAAACTCCTCCATACTCCCTACTACAGTAGATCTTGAGTAGATCTTGACCCCTTACAAAGAAACGACGCAAGGGATCAGAAGAGTTCCAAGGTTCCAGTCTCTCTTTCACACTTCGATCACCTTTGACTGAAACTGTCGACCAACAAAGGAACAAACACTTCAATTGAAAGAATTCCAGAAGTCCAAGCATGTCTGCTCGATGCACAAGTCTAGAAACGTTGACTGGCTTGCAAACAGAATGCAAAAAGAGAGCAAAGGCAACTCAGCAACAAGATGAAAGAGCTAGAGAAAACATGAGAAAACACGTTGTCTGCGTTGTTCCAGAAGGAACACCTGCAGGCGAGCCGAAGCCCTGCTCAGTGAGTTTGCCTTTCGTTTGTGTTTCACTTCTTTTTCATTTGCGCAAACGGTTTGTTTCAAAAACATTCACAGTCTTGACAAAGTCAATCCTGATTTAATGGACACTCAGTCAGCTACGAACCGCACTCGCTTGTTGGGGCCGAACCCGTAGCTGTTCTTAAACTGTTGGAGTCTTGAATACTCACCTGTGTTGGACAGGTTCTCATTCAGCATGCGGGTCAAATCTGTCACCATGAGACGGCCCTCGTGCTCAGCCGGCACAATCACAACTCCGAGCTGATTGCCGGAGGCAGCAAAGAAAACCTGGGCAAGCCACTTGGTCCTGTCATCATTCGGCAGCATTTTCCATGTGATCAAAATCGGGGTGGCAGGAACCGAGCGGAGCAAGATGCTTTTGAAACGCCCAGTAGTCTCCCGGTACTCGATGAGCTCTGGATCCCATGGACAACCCTCCAACCGATGGTCGCGCACCCATACGTACTTGTGCGAACTTGCGATTGAACCAGTGCAGTTGATGTAGATGGGGTTTCGTGCAATCACGTGGGGGATTGAGAGCGCATAGAGGTTCTTCCACTTGTCACCACGGGGGAGCCGCCACTTGGCACCAGTGATGTACTCTACATCCTCATCGACCCACGCCAGCTCCCACATCCGTGGTGCCCTCATTTGTGGTTCTGGTGTGGGTGACCGGGACCGCTGGGCCATCTGACTCACTTGACGCGTGAAAGAATGATCAGAGTCTCAGCCACAAATGCTCAAAGTCTCAACTCTCAACTAAACCAAAACTAGAAACATGTAAAGAGTGAAAGGAAGGACTGGTACGGGGTGGATGGGTGGGTGGGTGGAAGAGTGACATAGGGCGTACACCGCAGAAGGATAGACAGCTAGTGATCAATTAGATGCTTGTTGAACCAGTGGTGTCATGTGGTGTCTTCCTAAAGGGGACAAGGTCCGACAAACCAGGCAGTGCAGCGCACTCAAAAGTCTGAACCCTAAGCCAATGCTAGAATCAGCAGAAACTATTTTGCGATCTTCAGAAAAACTATTTCGCGATCTTCGAGCCCTCCACACACACACGCACACGCACTCTTAAGAATAGGTTTACTCTCATTAGCACTCTAGGGTCACTGTAAAAGAGTGAAAGGAATGAGGTCCAAGTGCTCAGGGCAAACACTCAGGGAAGGAATTTCAATCACACACACACACACGCTCACCATCGCTAGTGGGTTGGAGGCGAGGTTTCAAGAACCTCATTGACCTCCGAGCCTCTGAAGTCTCACTAGTCGTAGTAGTAGTAGTACTACTACTAGCAATAAACAAGGTCTCCAAAAGTCACCTTCCACATTCTCAGTCTTCTCAGTACTGTATAGTAGTATAATCGTATAGGTGCGAATCCCGAATCACGAATCCATGCGAATCCCGAATCACGTTTTCCGGAGCCCCGAATCACGAAAATGTG